CAACAATATTTAAGAGATAGTTAGAACATGTCCTATCCTGTCAATCTAGTATTTAGTTGAAAATTCAATAGAATAAATAGATAAAAAAAACCCAACACAAATTGAAAAATCAATGCATGTTTCCTTTATTAGCTTCGTCAGTTGATATTAAATGACGTAAACGTACTAAACAGACGTCTACGTTAATATAGACGCCACATTTGGCACGTAAAAGAAACGGTATAATATTATAATAAAATAAAACGTTTATTACTGTTGTATACACTAAAACATGTGCATGTGTATATATAAACGTAATTATTTCGAATAGCATATATAATTTTCGAAAAGAATTACATAAGATAACTGGATCAAAAGATACATACATTTTCATAGAGAAACTAGGCTAGTAAATAATTTCAACAAGTATGAAAATAACAGTTACTTATGTGAAAGTTTAGATTTTCGAAAAAAATGCTTTAATCATATTTTGAAATTGTAAAAAAGGAGATAATAATTTAGAAACATCGCTATCATTCAATATATCTTATAAAGCTTAAAATATATAAAATGAAAATTATCTATCTATTATCTATTCAAGTTATGGCATTATCTTCAAAATTAATTTATGTTATTTGAAAAAATCAAAAATCATACGAATACATTATGAATAATGTAGTATATAATTGTAAAAACAAAAACATGCGTGAATAAAGGGGGTAATTAAATAATTATATAATTGGCATAGATAATGTATTTGTATAGATTCAAATAAATTAATTAATAAACATTTTTAGATACAGTAAATTACTACTAAAATAGAACAGGCTTTTATGCCAATATGTGCAATCGGCATGAAGGAAAAGTCATCAAGGGAATAATCTATGGAATTTAAATGAACTGCAACATTAGAAGATAATTGGCATGACAAATACTTCTTATATCAAGTTTATGACCGTTCATTCTTTTTATACCTGTTGATGGGTCTGGCCGATATATTGTATTTTACATTTTTACAAGTTATTGAATAAATCACGTCATTAGAAGTATTATTTCCATCAAAATGCATTTATACTGTTCACATTTCGTTTATTTAGAGTTGAATGGGTGAGAGAATTTTGACGGTTTTTAGGACGTGTGTATGCTAAGATTGGTTTATGTTTATATAATTTTTATGCTGTCATTTTCTGACAACATTACTTAAGATCACAGTATTTATTTATTATTAGACCAAGATGGGGAAGAGACGGATAATATGGAATAACAAACGCAATATTTTTTTTGCTGCTCTGTGTTAATTCCTTTATTTTTAAGAGCTTCTTCGATTGCATGTTTTACTTTGGCAAAAGCAGATTTTAGCTTGCTAGCATGATAATTACTGTTTTTGAAAAAGGATTCTATTAAGATATTTATGAAATTTATCATTGTCTGAAATGATACGTCTGTAACTTTTAGCTTGGCTGTATGGTATACCCTCTTTACATTTATTACGGGTGGCATGAGTTATATATACTCCAGATATTAATGGACATGTATGTATTTTATATGATATTCCGTTGGTAATGTACAATTTTCATGTTTAAGAACCTTATATAACATCAAGAAATGACACATGTATTTTCGATATGTTATATGTAAATTTAATTGGAGGGTGATATGTATTTAATTTGTTTATAAAATCATGTAAAGCACTTATAAATTGATCCAATATCATAAATATATCATATAGAAAGCGGAACCAAGTCGTAGGTTTAAGGTCAAAGCTGTTTCATCAAGAGCCCGGGTTGAGCCGGGTGATGCTCCCCGAATAGGTTTTGGACAAAGGAAAGTACACCTCTTGTAGTTTCAGAGTTATGTCCCTGGAAAAAGTTCAAAGTGCAATAATTCCAAAATAAGGCAAGGCAGAGTTATGATTCTTGTGCACTGCACATCTACCCATTGAGATATATCTACCTACAAAGTTTCATGTTGATATCTCTTATAGTTTTACAGCTATGTCCTGGACAAGATTTTTCTAAAAGGGGAGACAATTTTAAAATGAGGCTTAACAGAGTTATGGTTCTTTTTCACTGCACTTCTACTCAATGAGAAATGAGATCTATCTACCTACAATGTTTCATCTTGATATCTCTTATAGTTTTAGAGTTATATTCCGAACAAAGTTCAAAGTGTTAAAATTAACAAAGGGCAGTAACTCCAAAATTAGGACAAAAAGAGTTATTGTTCTTATGCAATGCACATGTACCCATCGAGATCTATTTACCTACAAAGTTTCATGTTGATATCTCTAATAGTTTTAGAGTTATGTCCCGGACAAGATTTTTCTATAAGGGGAGATAATTCAAAAACCGGGCAAAATAGAGTTATGGTTCTTTGACCCTGCACTCCCCCTCAATGCCCTCTACCTAAACAAATTATCTCCTAGGGTTTTCAAGTTATGCTCCGGACAAGACAACGGACGGACGGGCGCCGACTTTATGCTCCCCCGAAATTTTTCGGGGAGCATAAAATCAGATTCTTATTTACGTATGCATAGCGATGCGTATGTAGTGGCCAGTGAACCACCCATAGCGGTACCTAAAAACGTAAATAATTTTTATAATTAAATTGAAAGTTAATTAAGGGGAGTGCATATTTCCTCCGATGATAATTTATTACCACATTTTTTTATTTTCAAGGAAGTATTTACAAGCAGCTATCTCATCTTCATGTAGGATATTTGATACAGTGAAGTTACATCCACATTTAATTTAAGCAAAAATCAGAGGTATCTTTCACATACGACAGTAATGATTTCATATATGATTTTAATATAAAGTCAATGTTTTTTTTTTAAATATTATCAGATTCTGTGCAACTATTGGTCTGCCTTGATATCCTATGGTTAGATTTTTATTATAAGATTTATGAATTTTGGGCAAGATATAAAATTTGGGCGTTCTTTTGTTGGTTGGAAAGATGTCAAATTCGCTAAAGTTATATTACTGTTTATTTCGGATATCTCGTTTATACAGTTTTGAATATTAAGTTTTATTTCCTGTGACGGGTTATTGTCTTATTTAGAGTATTAATTATTGTTATTCAATTGGTGTTCCACTTCATGAATATAGTCAATTTTTTTCATTATAACTATCATATTTTATTTATCTGCTTTTTATTTGTTTGGGTCGTCAGACCAAACAAATAATGGTACCGAAATTTCAGACTCTAATGCTGTTAATTGCAAGTGCCGAAAGTAGTCCGCTTTTTTGAAGCGGTTACTTCCCTTTATATGTAACACTTAGGCCGAAAAATTTAGGGGAGATCACTGCGTAAATATGGTCACATGATAGGCCGATTAATTTTCAAGCAAAATAATTCCCGAATGGTCGAAAATTTCTAATATTGTTTTATTATTTATAGATATACATGCTTATATAGTAAGCGCAATGATTATTTACACAAGTGTTTAACAACAGTTAGCGTCGTTACAAGCCCTAACTAGAATAATATGGTTTTCTTCAGGCCGTGTACATGTAAATCCACCGTGGCCGAGGGGTTTGCGCGCTCGCTTAGGACGCGAGAGGTCTGGAGTTCAAATCCCAGTCAAGGCAAATCTTTTTTTCTTCAAATAGTTTATGTCAAATAAACATTGGATCGAATATCCGTGTTGCAATTAGTTTTATAGCCAATCTACTACAATTAAAACGCTGGAAAGCATTGGTGGCACTATACAAAAACAAATTGTTTTATAATCTCACAACCTTCACCTTTCTGACATTCTGAGACCCAAACAATTTCAGCGCCTTCTGTGCTTTGATTTGATAACGGCAAAGTGAACGTAGTGAGTTAAATTATTCTTTAGAAATATTTGTGCTATATAGTTTCTTGTCATTTTTTAAAGAACTTGTGAAAAAAGCTCCTATATAAAGGTCTAAATAAGTATTACGGTCGTTAGGAAGAATAAATGTAGACTTTCGTTTATCAAAGAATGGCATTTGTTTAAATTCATTATGTTCACAGTTATAATAATGTTCATAAAAGTGCTCTTTTAGCCTAAATCGTCTTGAAAAATTATAAGTTGTCTTGAAATTTCAAGAAATAGTAGCCTTCACACAAGTTTTAATTGGTGTTATACTTAAAAAATACTACCGTCTGTTGAGGCCTTGAGATTAAGTTTAACTTTTATGTAGTGCAGTGCTTCTCGTTCTTGCATGTCTTAATCATGTTTGCAAAAAGTAAGAAAAAACCTTCGCTGTTTTTAAGTGCAGATCGCGATCGTATGATGATCAAAACGAGATTGTACGTTTACATCTAGTGATCACGCGATGGCGCGATAGCACGAAGGTGAAAACGCGATGTCCATCGCGTCATCCCGCCATCGTCTTTTCACCATCGAATCATCGCGTTTTTACCATCGTGTCATTGCGTTTTCACCATCGTACCATCGCGTTTTCATCATCGTACTATCGCGTTTACACCATCCAACCATCGCTTTGATAAATACTTAATGCATGATTTTCTCCACGAAGTTTTGTTAATTAATTGTGTAATTTTATTTGTGACTTGGATATTTGCATTAAGATACTTAAAATGTCAGTCCTGTGATCAGCAGAAAATTTCAATGAAATGGGGGAATCCTCTTTAAAATATGATAAACAAGATCAACAAGGAAAGGCGGCGTTCAATGAACGCAACCCCCATATGACCCAGCAACAAGAACCAACGGCAAGGAGCCCAGGCGGACCTCTTTGATAAACAAGATCAACAAGGAAAGGCGGCGTTCAATGAACGCAACCCCCATATGACCCAGCAACAAGAACCAACGGCAAGGAGCCCAGGCGGACCTCTTTAAAGTCATTTTGAAAAAAAAAACGGTTGGCTACCCTTAATAAAACAAGATCCTTTTCAATGTCAGACATTTCATTCTTCTAGAAAAATCACCTCTTTAACAAAAACACTTTATTTAAGATCATTTCTCATAATGTAAGTCTATGGGAAATCAATATATAAGTCTGACCTATCAGTTTCCGTCAGCTAATTCGTCAGTAATTTAGTATTGGCTAAGAAGGAAAGGAAGAGTTGTCGGTCCTCGCAAGGACAGTTATTGTAAAAAGGTGAAAATGCCAATTCTGAGCAATTTGCGGACGACAGCCCCGGCTGGAGCCCGACTGGCTCAGGCATTGGTTCGAGTTAAACAGACAGTGAACGTGTCTGGTTTGTATTCATCTTTGAATTCTGTAAATGATTCAGCATGTTGAGCTAGGTGGGTGGGGTAAAACTGATCAAGGATTCTGGATAATTTAGCCTTTTTAAGTTTTTAGGCATATTTTGTCGGGTGTTTAAATGAGATTTTTGTCGCTTATCATTATCTTTCTTCTTTTTCCATAATTCCAAACCCCTTGCGGGAACGTAGTCTTTACTAGATTTCAGAGACAGCTATGAGTTACAAATTATGGAATCCGGGAACCGGTCCCAAGCTCTTATTGCCAAGTGTATAGCACTGATACTTGTAAGGATTACCTGGATTTTTTACGAGTATACCTCTAGGTAGGTGGGAAACACGGAAAGTGTCGCTGAAAAATCTCATGGGTGTTACATTAACAGGTCTAGGACTTCATGATAGTGTAGTACCGTATGGTACTGGTTACGGGAGTTGACGGAAGTTAACGGAAGGTTCCGAACCAACCGGAACGAGTGTGTTTAGTCTGACAGTTGGGCGCCATATTGTTGTAATATATACTCAGAAGAATTAGGCAATTCCTAGCTTGGCTACGATCCAGACGTGGAAGGTAAGTCGATTGCTTGTATTGTCAATCCCTTTATAATCAATCGCGACAGTTCTATATTGGTGGCAGCGGAAGATTATTCAGCCAAGTGCACATGATTGGTTGGAAATGGTGAAGGTGGTGAAAGCGGCAACCAATGTTCTGGCCGCTCACAAGCAGCAACAACGGTCATCTGTTTGGGCAGTGACAAATTCTTCTGGGAGCTTCCTGAAAGCTCTATAACCCAGAGTGAGCACACGGTCGGCCCACTCCTCCAGGGACTCTGAAGTCTCTTGAACCGCATTCTGAAATCTTACCTGTGCGGCTGCTGGTAACTCATGTTGGCCAAATCGAGCAGCCAACTTTGCTACCAAACCTTGGTAGGTAAGATATCCTTCCTGATCATGGATAAGCGCATAGTATTCCAGCGCTTTTCCATTCAGGCACCATACGAGGCAGTTTAACTGTTCATCCTCAGTCCACCCGCCTTGTTGGACATAGCGGGCAAACTTAAGAAAGAACGGTTCCCAAGGGGTCCTGCCATCGAAAGACAAGTGCTTAGGAAGAGCCGAAATTGGATTACGGCCCTTGCGATCAGGAACAGATGACACTGGAACAACCGAGGTATCATCCTCGGAATCACTATCCACTATATTCCTGAAACGTATGGTACGTTTAGGAGTGGTATAGCGTGGTTTAGGTAAAGTTGGGGGGAGTGTGGGTTTTACCTTTTTAGAAGTAAAATCCGCAGGAGACATTAATGTCAGACTTTTCTTGGCAAAAGTCTGATCAGCTGATGCAAGGGTGCTATCAGATGACTTTTGCTGCTGCTTATGTGCAGCAAGGACCGATGTCGCCTCCTTAACCACCTTCACCATCTCTGTCCAATCTCGTGCAGATGGTTTAATATCTGCCTCCTCATCTGTCTCGTCTTCCGAGCTAGAATGGTCTAGCTCGCCACTGCGGTCAGTTGACAGAGACATATTCTGTCTAAAGTCTATCATAGCAAGTATCTCAGGGGAGAACTTGCGACGACAGACAGCCTCTAAAATCTCCCTGGTTATAATACCAGAGCTCTCCCTCACTGCAATGAGCGCCTTGGCTAGGCTTGCACCCACATTAGGTATTGCCTGTAGCCTTTCCTCAGACGCAAAGTTAATGGCAACCAAGGGTGGTTGCACAACCTCTGCTTCCTGAGAAAATATCTCGAACTTTCTCGGTATCTTTCATTGTTATGGAGAACATCAATATAAAGGGAAAGTTCGAGATATTTTCTCAGGAAGCAGAGGTTGTGCAACCACCCTTGGTTGCCATTAACTTTGCGTCTGAGGAAAGGCTACAGGCAATACCTAATGTGGGTGCAAGCCTAGCCAAGGCGCTCATTGCAGTGAGGGAGAGCTCTGGTATTATAACCAGGGAGATTTTAGAGGCTGTCTGTCGTCGCAAGTTCTCCCCTGAGATACTTGCTATGATAGACTTTAGACAGAATATGTCTCTGTCAGCTGCGAATACTGACAAGCTAGGCCAATCTAGCTTGGAGGTAGACACGGACGAGGAGGAAGATATTCAGCCAAGTGCACATGATTGGTTGGAAATGGTGAAGGTGGTGAAAGCGGCAACCAATGTTCTGGCCGCTCACAAGCAGCAACAACGGTCATCTGTTTGCACCCTTGCAACAGATGACAAGGTTTTTCCACATAAAAATCTGAAGTTGATGACTCCTGCGGATTTTACTGCCAAAAAGTCAAAATCCACACACCCCCCTACCTTACCACTTCCAGACTATACCACCCCTAAACGTACCATACGTTTTGACCAGGTAGTGGATAGTGATTGCAGTGATGACTCTATGTTTTGCCAGGGCACCATCTGCCCATAGGCGTTCTAGGTTAGTAACTGGATATCTGCCTTTCCCGAACACTTATCATATGATGGTAAGAGTACTTGGGAATCGTTCTTTTTAAAGTTCACGTCGCTATGTCCAACAAGGCGAGTGGACTGATGAAGAACAAGTTAGCTGCCTTTGTCTGCTGTTTAGATGGTAAAGCGCTCGAGTATTATGCGCTTGTCTGTGAACAAGAAGGTCAGCTTACATACAAGAGGCTGGTTAGCAAGTTGGCTGCCCGATTTGGCCAACATGAGTTACCAGCTGCTGCACAGGTAAGTTTCAAGAATGCAGCACAAGAGACAACCGAGTCCCTAGATGAGTGGGCTGACCGAGTGCTCACTCTAGGTTATAGAGCTTTTAAGAAGCTGCCAGAGGAGTTTGTCACTGTCCAAACAGTGAACAGATTCTGTCAGGGTATGGTTGACAAAGAGGCCGGTCACCATGTTTGCATGCAGCAACCAAAAGTCTGTGCATGCAGCCATACAAATGGTACGCCAGTACCAACAGGTGTATGCAGCCATGTATGGTGACAGGAAGGAACCGGAAAAGGTTTTTGCTGTTGCATCCCAGCCATCACGGGAGCAGCAGGCAGAGCCTATGTCAACCAATGATTTAAGCAAAGCCTTAAATGACCTGGAGCAAAGACTGACAAAAACCTTTTTGTCAGAATTGTCCCAACCCCGCAGATCAACCGGATGCTACAATTGTGGCGAAATGGGCATTTCAAAAGTAAATTGCCTAAGCTTAACGACAACCATAAGTCGTTAAACTAGAATGGGACGGTGAAAAAAGTAGGTCGTTTCCCGTCCCTGTCTGCAGACAAGACCTGCAAAATTAAAAAAACCCGGTTGGCTGCCAATTTCAGCCAAGTAAGCACGGGGGAGTCGAACCAGACCCTATTGTTGTCTGTCAGGTCAATTCCTCTTCCCAGTTTACCATGGGGGTCCAAGTAGGGGATGTCCAAGTAACAGCAGTGGTAGATACTGCTGCCCAGGTGACCATCATTTCTGATAAGGTTTACAATTCCCTGAAGCACAAGCCCCCCAAGATAAGGGATGTCGAGCTGCAAACGGCTGGCAGGGAATTGTCTATGGCAGCCTTTGTAGCCGGTCCGGTTAAGTTGAAGGTTGGTCACCAGTGGTACCAGGTCAACATGTTTGTTGCCCCCATTGAGCAACAAATGCTGTTGGGCTTTGATTTGCTTCGTGACCCTGGCAAATCTGTGCTAGACATGAGCAAGGCAGAGCTTTATTTTGATGGTATGCGCATCTCCCTAGATGTCCATTCATCAGATAGTCCCTTGGTATCCAAGGTCACGGTGTCTAAGAGACAGATTATCCCTCCACACTCTGTGGCGAGAGTCCAATGCAAGTTACACTCTCCCCTGCATAGCTATATCGTGGAACCAGTGAACCAGAAGAAATTTCTGGTTCCCCGAGTGTTACATGAAGGCACTAACACCCCTGTGTTGTGTCTTGTTAATCCATCAGATAGCTACCGCGCCTTGTCAGGAGGGGAACAGAGATAGGGAGGGCATTTGCCATCAGTGAAGTTGTCAGAAATGAGTTGTGATGTTGAAACATCTTTGCCCAGCAAAGTGTTTGAAACATCAGGTGCGGTTGGTCCAATACCACCACACCTGCAGGAGGTCTATGACACCTCTTGTGGCAGCCTTGATGAAGGTCAACGGATTCAATTAGCGCAATTGCTGATTGAGTTCCAAGATGTCTTCATCAATGGTGAACTTGACCTTGGTGACTTCACTGATAAGGAACGTGATATAGATACCAAGGAGGCAAAGCTTGTGAAGCAAGGTATGAGGCGAAAGCCAACATGCTTTGCAGGGGAAGAAGAGGCCCAGCCTCAGGGAATGCCGAAGGCTGGGGGTGTACAAGATGCCACATCCAAATGGGCATCTGCTCCAGTTTTGATAAGAAAACATGACGGCTCTGTGCGTTATTGCATAGACTATAGGATGTTGAATAAGGTTACAGTCAAAGACGTGTATTCCTTTGCCTTTAGTCGATGATTGCATGGACACATTTGCTGGCAGTGTTTGGTTTTCAAAATTGGATGCCAACTCCGCATTCTTCCAGTTGAACATCAGAGAAGGCTTTGGTTTGTTGTGGTGCCCCAGCCACATTTGCCAGAGCAATGGACTTAGTCCTGAGAGGTTTGACATGGAAGACAGTCCTGGCATTTTCTCGATGATATCATCGTGCTTGGACGCAATTTTGAGGACCATCTCTCAAACTTGCGGGAGGCTCTTTCGAGATTTCGGAGGCATAAGCTAAAGCTTAAGCCGAAGGAATGTATCTTCTTCCAACAAGAAGTAGAGTTTTTAGGCCGTAAAGTCGGCAAAGACAGCATTGCTATGACAGAACATGACATAGCAGTGGTGAAGGATTGGCCTGTTCCAAACAGTGCCAAGCAGGTAGAGAGGTTTATGGGTTGGTTAACTATCATAGAGTGTTTGTTAAGGACTTCTCTAGGGTAGCAGCCCCATTGTACGCCGTCACAGGCAAAGCCAACTTTGTCTGGGGCGAAGAACAAGCAGAGGC